AAAAAAAAAAAAAAAAAAAAAAGAAAGAAAGAAACAAAAAAAACAAAAAGCTCCTTTTCCGCTGCACACGTTTTGGACTAACTTAAACAACAATAACAGCAGCAGCAGCAGCAGCAACAACAACAACAACAACAACAACAACAAGAACAACAACAATAGCAATAGCAAAAGAAAAAAACAACAACAGCTTTTACAAACTTAAAACAGTTCAAGCTGTTGTATATGTCGCATAACTGGTCTATCTAGCAACACGGAGGTTAAAAATTTTCCTTGTTGTTTTTTTTCAGTTCTCTTTACACAGAAAAAAGAAAATTCGAGTTTCGGCCTGGACCATAACACACTATAAAAAACAAAAAAAGCTCTTCTTGGCAAGTGAGCTTTCTTTGACCCGTTGGATATTCTTGGAATTCTTCTTTTTTATTTGCTGAACATATGGAAAAATGTAAATCATGTTTAAAGTGGTCATGCACTTAGCTATACAAGCACTAAGCTTAACTAGTTTACAGGCATGTTACTGAAACAAAGGAAACAAATGTTTCAAATAAACCTATCATGGTTAAAAATCCCAACTGGCAGAAGGCAGGCCAGATGGCTATTTACAAAGCGTGACCGAGGATTTGAACTCGGGACTACCGAGAAACAAATTCCGCTGGTGGCCGGGTGGAGGCCTTGAACCCGGGACCTCCGGATTAAAACACCAGCGTCCTAAACCACTCGGCCACGCTGCCTCCGGAATTCTTGTAGATTAAGAGCATTCCAATTGAGTCCGTTTAAAAAAGGCCTACATTCCTTTTCACGAGATTCTTGAAAACGGGTTGGCAATATCACAACTGAATTAAGTTCAGAGATCGGAACGATCTATAGATTTGGCTGTCACCAATTTCAACAGCAATTCTCTATTACCTGATTTTCAGAGATCCCTGCAGAGAAAGGTGTTTCTTTAATAGTAACAAGCATTTTTACATGTTTGGTCCACAGGAGCATTTACCAGTTTTTTTTTCAAAAAAAAAAAAAAAAAAAAAAAACAAGTGTTACAGTGTTTAAAAGTTCATTATAGACTTTAAAGATCAGTCTAGTGTAATTTCCTGATATTACAAAATTTGACTTCGAAAGAATACCAAGAACTGAAATCGTGCATCAAATCAGTGTTTGTATTGTCGGTCATCTGGCTCATTCTCGATCAAGATGTGCCCCAACCTATACAACGATTTAAAAGCAATCGATCTCGCACAAATTGAAAAAAGAAATTTAAATTCTTTAGTATGGTGTACAGGTGATTGAAACATTCAAGATCATTCAACCTAACCCTAAGATGATGGGAACATCAACTAGAAAGTTCCGCGCTGCCCAAGCTGTCCGAAGTTTAATTCACGTCCCACTAAATGAGGTCAAAGCTTTAACGTCATTCTACATAAGCAATTTTTTTTGCCCTCCAGATGAAATTTTCTTGCGCGCTGAATCCGTTACTTGCACCCCTCAGGTAAAGGTTATAAACTGATTAGAAAGCGAACGCTTTTCGGTAACAATTTCTAATTAACTAACGTATCTAGGACTGATATCACTGGCAGTCTTGTAGGAGTTCTTTAGCAGATCTGCCCATTTTTCGGCATAAGGTTTTCAAAGAACTTAATGAAAGTGAAGAATGATCATCGCAGTAAATTTAATGTTGACACCTTGACTCTAAGTTATCAGAACTATCTACAGAAGTGATTAATTTACTGTCAACACGTCCAGTGCCAATGTTACCATTCGTGACTTTTAGAAATCTATGTTGATGCGGCCCTTTCATTAGGAACACACATTTTCAGATGTCTCACATGTATGCCTCCAACCTTTCAAATGCTCCGTAAAATGGCAATATTTTAAACTCGAATTTGAAAATCGAATAATTGTCTATTGAAGGGGAAAATGGCAAATGCAAAACTAAAAAAATCGTGCAGCAAATGTTTGATGCTAATTTTACTAGATCATTCTTAAAAACAATGTGCCTTTACGCATCCAGTGATTAAAAGCGATCACGTACTAAAGAAATTGACATTTTACTGAAAACAAGGTACACGTGTGGCTGAGCATCCGTCCAATTATAATCTGGTATAGCAAGATATCCGTCTGTTCATACCATCGACAAGATTTAGATTTCGCGAAGTACGATCTTGTTCTCTTACTTCACCACTAGTCAGCATTCAAAAATTATTTCCCGTCTAAGAGCAACCACTCGTTTGCTCACCTGTTTTAGATAAAAATCCATGCATCGCGGCGCCGATCATGTTGAAACAAGGGAAATATGGGCAAATATTTAACATAGCTGTTCGCACCCGTTGATGCGGAAATACTGTAACGTGGTTTGCCTACAATCCCCTCGCTATTTTCTCTTAGTTTTAAAAGAGTTAGGGAAGTGAGCGCGCTAGTATCTCTTTACTCCAAAGAGAGGCAATCAGAGAAAGGAACAAGGATGAGCGCTCTGATTGGTGGATCTGACGAACACATAGAGCGCGAAATCTGCCTTCAATTGAAAGTTGTTGCATTATTATTCCGCATAAACGCCTTGGACACTCTGCCTCAAAGAAATATCACAATAAATCAAGAGTTTCCATTTTTCCCCAGCGATAAGAAAAAGGCGCAACATCAAGAAAAAAAAAAAAGAAAAAAAAATGTTTATGGGAAGACGTTACCAAGAACTGAACTACGCAACTTCGCGTTTTTGAGTTTGCCCGTAGGACCGCATGCTTTCCAAAAAATTAGAAAAGAGAAGGATTCTAACAAACTTCTCTTCGTTATATTTGCGACTTTATTTGCGACTTTGCGCATATTCATGAAAGCGGTTTCAAATTAACGAAATCATTGAAACCCCGTCCACAATACGCCGGAGAAATTTGGAAACGCAATAATCACCGGTCGTTTTGGATTTGTGATTGAGGAAAACTCGGTAAGGGAAATCACATGACTATCGTGACGCCATCGTTTTCGAAAAGATCCGTTTTCAAAATGTTTTCCGTCCACTCTAAAACGTAAAGCAAACGTTTTCAAATTCCTCCGGTTTGAAGAGCGTTTTCTAATTAAAAGCTCCGTTTTCGTGACGGATTAGTGTGGACGGTAGGCCTAAAAGTTCCATTAAAGCTGCGTTTTCAAATTCCTCCGACATGGTGTGGACGGGGTCTAAAAAGTAAAGCCGGCGGTTTTTTATTTCCTCCGTTTTAAAAAGCGTTTTCTAAAAGCTCCGTCGTGACCGTTTTGGTGACGGATTAGTGTGGACGGTAGGCCTAACCACAGAAATAAAGATGAGTATTCAAATTCCTCTCGCGTAGTGTTGACGGCCCTGAGCTTTTGGAGTCAAGACAACATTCTGCTCTCTTTGAGAAGCCAAATAAAGTAACAGTGAATAAAATTATCATATTTGAAAAAGGTTTTCTTTTCAGTCATTAGCGCTATTATAAATTTATTGGTGTAAACGAAGGAACCGGTGACGAAATTTGTGGAAACGGTGCAGGAGTTCTGTATCCCGGAGGAAAAAAAATCGGGAATTTAGTGCTGGTAAACCAAATAATAACAGAAAACACAAACAAACCTAAGACTAAAAGCACGTGATGCAATGCAACTTAAGGCACTGGTTTTGTGGGAAAAGTAAGCAGGGAAATTAAACATGACTGTGTGCTTTGCGATATTCGGCAAAACCGAGAATTTAATATGAAAAATACAGAAGAATTAAAAAAACTGAGAAACTTGTGCTCTATTCGAATTACCGACAGGATCCAAAAATAAATGAAAATGTTAATTGTATGCGTTCTGTCACGTTCACATGCAAATAAATTAGTTACTCTTCACCTGTAGGGCAAAACATGTACCAAAGTACAGTCTTTTTTCCTGATAGGAAATATTTAGGCACTGTTGCTGTTTATTACCTTTATTTAACTAAAGTCAACCATAATTCCCAAACAACATAGAATGTTTCCACGTTTTACTGCATGTCTTTAAAAAGACATGCAGTAGAAAATAAAAAGGAGGCTTTCCTTTTTTGAATTTTTCGGTTAAAAATTCTAAGACAATAAGATCTGTGGAGAAAATTAGCTCATTGTTTGTGAACAGTACGTTTTTAGGCAAATTGACACAGGTCCATTTGAGTTCGGATGTTGAGAATCTATTGTCTCGCCGGCCTTATTACGGCACAATGTAAACGTACTAAGTTGTGAATTTTAATATCGGGAATTTTATTTCGTATCACAGAAAATCTAAGTTTATTTTATGCTTTGTCTTAGCAAGAATTGCCCAACGGCTCTTTATTTCTGGAGGCGGTAATAAATTGCTCAGGCACAGAGCTTCAACTGTCACCGTAATATAAACAAAGCCCTTTGCCTGTAAAATAACGATGAAGTGCGAGGTACTTTTAAACAAGGCTCGTTCGAATTAAAAATTACGAAGTCAACAACAGACGAAACCAAGACGCAAAAAGGTGACAATCGAAATCACGCCATAACACCGCACTCACAAAAATGCTATCTAGCGGGTGACACTTAGCTTTGAGGGTACATAAGACATTTAAAACAAGGCACATACCCGGACGTTAACGGTTCAATCTTCGACAGATCCAGTTGGTTTTTATGCCGAACGGAAAGCCAGCCGCCCATTACGTCTCCAACGCTGCGCCTGCATAAGGTTTCCCCGCTTGAAAGTGACTTGCCGGCGCCCTGAATTTCAAAACGTGCGCTCTGCCGCCTGGACAAAGGAAGCTACACGGACCATAAGCTGTACAGGCAGCCACTCAACTTAATGAATAAACATTTTGCCTCGAGGGGGTCATTTACTTATGAAAATGGTAATAAACTTGGACAGGTGTCCTTCTTCCGCGCTGCCGCTACAGGTTGTTTGCGGTTTATTTAATCGTCCCGCGACCAACAAATAGCTGGAAATTTTTGCCTTATCTCTACGCGGTCGAAAAGGTTTGTTTTATAATTCGCTGCGCCTCCCCAAAACTTCAATTACTCTATGTTCCATTCACCAACCAACATCTTGTTGAGAAAAGAGGCCAATTTAACTTTGTGTGTTATTAGACGCACGTGTCACTGCAATAAAATCGCAATAAACGAAAGCGACGCTTAAATAAATTGGTCGAAATTTGTCGACGCTTTCAACATAAAAATTTCATTTAGTTCCTTAATTTCCATTCGATTCGCTAGCAGTGCGCTTGCACGCACCTTGTTGCCCCGGAAACTAAAATCACGTGGCTTTCTAAAACTGCATACTTATTTTGCACGCTCTATTTAGCAAAACAACTTCGTAAACAGCCAATAGCGAACTGTTGTTCAGTGTTGACGGCGGAAGGGTGGGAAAAGACCAGTTGCGGCCGCTCGTGTTCCTGTGTCTGGAGATTTGGAAGCGAACATCCGTTTGGAGGTAGAAAGGCAAAGAAAACTCTGCGAGTGATGGGCTCAGCATTGTCGCAACACAGTCGCTCACGAAATGTCCCATCACCGTTCACGATCTTTCAAAACAAAGTCTCGAGAGAGCAAAGGAGGTAAGCCAAACCGAAAATTAATTGTAGCAACAGGGAAATAGTAAAAACTATCCAGGGTTATTATGTAGCAAGTACAGAGCGTTTGGAAGAAGCGGCTGTGAATTTTTTCCCTGTAGAATTTTTGACTAGGAAGGAGTCAAAAGGACACTTAAACGATGAGGGTATGTGTAAATTAAACCTGAACAACAAAAACAGCAAAAAAATATTTTAATACAGTTTGCTAATACTTTTGGCTAGTTCTAAAACTTAACGAAGACTAAATAAGATATTTTTAACAGGTAGCAATTCACGAATTCGTAACATTACAAAATGGCGGAGGGGGAAAATTATCGCACAAGTAACATCGGAAGTGACACGTGCTTTTTCCTTCTTCAAATTTTGACGCTATCTTGGCACCAAAAAAATTAAATTTCTTCTCGGAAATAACAGGTGTCAGTTAGCTATTAGAACATGACTTTAATTTCCAAACGAAAATTAAGAATATTTTGACATAAACACAGCATGGATAATCCAAATGATTAAAACAACCTGTTGTTGATACCGTCGCGATTTTTCAGACTGACTCACAAATGAAAGATCACAATGAAATATTCGGTTTAATTGTTATTTCTTTGTTTCGATGAATAGTCTTATTTTCTTCTTCGTTGACATTTTGCAAACGTCCGTCGAGACGAAAAGAAAAGAAAATGTCCACCGACTCGCGCCTCAATTTTGAAAGTGTTTGGTTATTGACGATGTGACAACAACAAGACTAATAACAGCGCACCTGGATGTCGCTTAGCAGCTGAGAATAAGTGGGTGTATACATTTACATTATTACTAACTCCTACCCGAAACTCCGCGGTTACACAAAAAGTATCGACCATCAAAATAGAACGAATCGTTTCAATAAAAAACTCCAATTTTGAGCAACTACAACGTCGACGCCCAGGACAATGTTGTTGTTGTTGTTGTTGTTTCAAATGTTTTCCTATAATTCTCACAATTTTCCAGAGCTATTCAGTTTGTTTTGCCGGTATCAGACTGTCACCAGCTGAATGTGTAAATATAACATTTAATTATAAACAGAAACGCGAAAAATTCTCCGTGTTGCCTCACGTTCTTAGCGTAACGCAGCGGCAGATTGGCGATTTCCCGTTGCCATGTTTCCAGTGGAAGAGTTGCGGTACAAAACAGAACCCACGTTGACGATTGATAGTTTTGGGAAAATTTTACTGTCATTTACCGCGCCGTTTTGGGAATTTTGTTGAAAAGTATCCAGCTAGCCGATAACGTGTTGATTACAAATAATCAAATTGTACGTACTGCGCAAGTTCGGAAGCTTATATAAGGGTCTTTATATGACAAATGTTCGCGACTTTGGCTCGGACTGTAGTTCTTAACTTTGAAGTTGAGTTACAAATTAAGGACAGTGAGTTTACGTCTATCAAATGGAAATTTCTACAAATAGTCATAAATTGCTTGGAGATAAGTAATCATTTGTCGTATTATTTTGATGTGATCTATATCTCAGATCCGTTCGTTGAGTGCACTACTACGATATCGGCTTGGCTCAAAATATAAACACGTATTTCCCGGTAAACATGTTCTTGTTGGATGTTGTATGGCTTTAACGACACGTACAACTTTTATTTTTCCAGCTTGCAGGAGATTTTGACCTTCAGTCATGCGGAAACGGAGAAATACAACGAAAGATATTGCCACTTACCAGATGCTCTTTTGTTGAAGATTTTCTCGCACTTTGCCATTGACGACTTATTACGCGTGTCTAGAGTTTGTCAGCAATGGCGTAGAGTGAGCCTGGATCCTACTTTGTGGCTGAGCATTGATTTATCTTCCTGTCTGTACACGCGCTTGCGAGACAGTAACATTATCTGCTTAGTTTCACGTGTTACTTCATCTGCAATCACGCACATAGACTTGTCGGGTCCTGGCTGTTCTCGTGTTACGAACGTTAGCTTATTTCACATAGCTCGTCAATGCCACAAACTTCGGAAACTTTACATCTGCAATCGTAACCGGATCACGAGCACGGGGATGGAGATGATCGCCCGATGTTGCCCTTATATGGAAGTCCTCGGAATGTCGAAATGTCCTCTGATACTCAACCGAGGACTCGGGTCCGTGTTGCGACGCTCAAAGCTATTACGAGAGCTCGACATAAGTGGATGCCTATGGGTTACAGACGCCGTTCTTTCAGAAATCGGAGAGCAATGCAGTTCTTTAGAATACCTGAGCATCGAGGGCTGCAAAAAAGTCACTGACGCGGGCTTAATTGCCCTGGCAAATTCATGCGCCACGTTAAAACACGTCAATTTGCGGAACACCAAGCGAATCAGTAACGCTGGAATGGAACAATTCTTGACCAAGATGCCTGACCTAGAGGGACTGGAAATTGGTTTGGTTCGAAAGGGCCGAATGACCGCCGCCATATTGAACCAGGTGGCCACGCATTGCAGGAATTTGACGTTTTTTGATTATCAAGAGTGTTTTCCTACTCCTGTCGAAGATGTTCTTTGTCAGATCGCTGAGAAGTGTCAGAGCTTACAGTATTTGGGTGTGAGATATCAATACCAGACTCTTTCAAATAGCTTAGTTCTCTCTTTGACTAAACTCTGCCCGAGTCTCGTCAAAATTGACGCAAGTTTGCGCTTTTACGTACATATATGATCATTTTCACAGAACCCGCAGAGTGTTCAGTATCAAATTATTTTCCAATCAACAAATAATTCAAAAATGATAGTATGGAAAATTAGCAGAACCGACAAGTGGCCCAATAGTAAGTCATAACGGCACATCGATAAAAAAAAAAAGGTTGGCTCTGGTGCAGAAGTCTTTTCAGATTTTCTTCCTTTGGTTCATGCGGAGAAACAAAGGCACTAGAAGACGAACACACCTCAGCCTCAGATAGGTAATGACTGAAATTATTCTAACATAACTTTTAGAATTCGAAGTAACCTTGTTCAGTAACAGCAGCTTGTTATCAACAGCTCATCTTAATGTTATTCCCGACAAAAGAGAAGTTCGAAGTTTGAGCTGAAACTGATGAAGCAGGTCCACAGAAGGGTTCGTCTCGTGACTGTGATTGGTTAATGTATGGTTATGTGCATGCGCAGAAGTTACAATCAATTTTAGTGTGGTCGACGTGTTTCAGCTCGAAACTCGGACAGTTCTCTGATGGCAGTTTGATATTTGCGCATGACGAGAGACCTCTGTCTCCGCATGTTTTTATCTGCCTAGATAGCTATAATGTGGGCTATCGTTTACAAAGGACTTTGATACAGTTTACTTCATTCCTCAAAACCATATTGACAGGGAAGACTGATCGATACACCCTGGGAACGAAGTTTGCGTTTATATAACTTATCTCTAGTAATTTCTTTATATTGTTTTTACCTTCTCATTTTTGACTTGGTATCCTGCAAAAGAAAATTTAAGTATTGAATTACAACAAACTTCCGTCACGAAAAAAAGAGTAAAACCCGAGTGAACTAAATTATCTTTGGTTAAGCCAGTAAAAAGTTAGCGTTAATTAAATTTACATTCAGGTAACAACTTCTCACTCTTTGGGCCTTCATTTAGTGCCAAATGATCTCGAACTGCAACTTACAATAGACAGTAAAAAAAAACAAAAAACAAAAAAAAACTGTGTTTGTAAACTGTGTTTGCAAACACAGTAAGTAGACGCAAGCAAGGAGACGCAAGTTGAAGACTTGAGTTGAAAACTTGAGTCTACTCGCGACTCCGTTTGGTGAGGACTTGCGTGCACTTGCGTTGACTTGTGATGACTCACTTCGGTCGAAATCAAATTTACAGAGAAGTCGACGCAAGTTTTTCACCGTTTGGCCACCCAGCCCCAGTCAACGCAAGTTGTGTGACGTCTATCAACCCTACAAGCCAATGAAATACAGCCTTGAAATAAGTGTTTTGCGACTTGCATGTACTTGGGAGGAAACTTGCGAGTCCGTTTGGTCACCAAATACAAGTCTCTACGCAAGTTCAACTTGCGGTGACTTGCGAGTCCGTTTGACCAGGGCTTAAGACGTATTGATTCAGTGTTCAGGGATAGACCTAAAACTCAGGCTGCACTCACACACCGTACATTTACGTCTATACTTCGTCTGTAATTAAAACTATAGTGCTTTCGCCCTTGCACAAAAAAATTGTCAATCTTTACAGACTTAAACGTATTCGTTTGTCTTAATTGCCATACAGACTCATACGACTGCATGTCTCAACGTTGTGATTGCATGCTGTGCGAAGGCGCGGACCGGAATATTAGGGTCCGTCCACGCTACGCCGGAGGAATTTGAAAACGGAGGTTTCAGTCTGAAAACGCGTCAAATGTTTTCCGTCCAAACTACGATCGACGAATTTAGAAACGCAACAATCACCGGTCATTTTAGATTTGTGTTTGAGGAAAACTTGGTCAGGGAAGATCACATGATTATAGTGACGCCATCATTTTCGAAAAACTTCGTTTCCAACAATAATGTTTTCCGTTCGCTCGAAAAGGAAAGGTCGGCGTTTTCAAATTCCTCCGGGTTGAAGAGCGTTTCGGAAGAGCTCCGTCTTCGTGACGGATCAGTGTGCAAGGTAGGTCTAACCGTAGAAATAAAGCTGCGTTTTCAAATTTCTCTGGCGAAGTGTGGACGCTGCCGTTACATTCCTTGAAAATACCAGTATGCGAGATTCACGGGGACAAACAATTGACGAGTAGTAATCGAAAGCGTTATTTGGGAAATGAGGCGTTTTAAAGATCCACGCCAGAGACTAGAAATTAGCCATGCAGTTCAGGAAGAGTGCAAAAAAAAAAAAAAAAAAAAAAAAAAAAAAAAAAAAAAAAAAAAAAAAAAANATCGAAAAAAAAATCATTGAATTGAAAGTAAAATACAGAAAACACAATAGCGTGCAGTTACACTTCAATACACTTTTGAAAGCGAAAGCTAAATATATTCACGTAGGGGCCAAACCACCCCCCAAATAGAATAGAAATTGCGAGTTCGTAATCTAATTCTTGCATTTAAAATCTTGAAATTGTACCCGCGAATAGCGAGAAGCTGATGGTGACACTGGATGAAAAAAAAAAAAAAAAAAAAAAAGTACGAAAATTAAGGGGACAAAAACTAAACAATCGATAAATGAATGGGCTTTTGTGCTTAGGATTTTGACCTGAAGGTTTTTCAGTCGATATTGACGTAATGACAAATTTATTCGGAAGTGGTTTCAGAAATTACAGGTATTTTCTCGTAGTTGACGTGTGTGCACAGAATCTCACAAGCAACGACATCGTCTATTTGTCAAACTTGCACCGTATTCTCGCAAAACCTCTTACCTTACGTACAAAATGTACTGGAGGTTACTCGTCGAACTTCTCCCTCTAAGTCACCCTTCGCGCCTATGCTCTGAAGATCCTTTCTCTCTAATGAAAACCGAATGCGTTGCTGGGTTATGTGTCGTTTAAGGGATCCTAATTGAAAAAAACCAATGATGGAATATGAAATTGACAGCTGAAAATTGGGCCGGTGTTGCTTACTGCTCAACACTGGCAACTGCTCACATTTGCCGGCGTCGGTAGGGCTCAAGTTTAAGGTTGATTCCTTGGATGAAAATAGTGCTCAAAGCTTGAAACTTTAAAACAGAAGATGATTAAGACTATGATGGTGGTGAATAACCTAGCAACATTTCCCGGTTAGAACGAATATGATGTGAACTGTGATAATACAAATAAAAAGGTTCGCAGCTGTAACCCTGAAAATCAACCCTAAATTTTAGAATTTCTTTTTGGTAAAACTTTAGCCGTTGAAAGACACAAAAACTGTTCGTGCAACCACTTAGTAAATAAGACAACAGTTTGTCGTAATTGGCTTGCATGCATTGCGCCTTTTGTATACCATTACAGTCACGCATCAGTAAGGATCACTATTGGTTCCAAGTTTGTAATAGCGCTTTTCACAACCGTATTTCAATTCCGCAACGTTTGTTACCTAGGAAATATAGAAAACGGCAAAACTACTAAAATTTGAGAAACTGTCTACTTCCGGTGCGTAAGAAAAAAGGAAGCAAGAAAAAAAAAAGAGTCAAAGAATTGTTTCAATTTAGGAAGGATGCTCTAAGATTTTGGTCGACACCTGACGTTCATGTCACGTGACTTTTCCCTCACTGTTTTCGTTTGGCACTGAAAGTGAAAAAGCAAAATTTGAATTATTCCCCTTGAAGCCAAGTGACAAGTCTCGTGTCTGCATTGAACAGCAGAATAATTAAGCAATAGAACACTTTTTCCGTGTTTACATAGCCTCATCTAAACACGAGGAGGGTTGGGAGAATTCGAGACAGTTATACAAACCCTAGTCGAGGTTTTTTTTTATAACTTTCGAGAATTCTCCCAGCCCCCCCGAGTGTTTAGATGAGGCTATGTAGACATGGAAAATGTGCTATATTGCTTTTATGAAATAATTCTGAAAAATACGCGCGAATCTAAAACGTCGCAACTGTGTTTACATACTCTCATCTAAACACACTTATCGACCAATGAGAGCGCGCGTAGTAGCTCAGTTATTTTATGATTCAATTTCCCGACAGAAAACTGTTTTTCTGCCTTTTTAGTGAACAGACTATTCATTAAAGACCAGTCCACCTTTCTTCAAATTTATTCTTCAGAGCGGGTGTAGNGTTTCAATTTAGGAAGGATGCTCTAAGATTTTGGTCGACACCTGACGTTCATGTCACGTGACTTTTCCCTAACTGTTTTTGTTTGGCACTGAAAGTGAAAAAGCAAAATTTGAATTATTCCCCTTGAAGCCAAGTGACAAGTCTCTGGTGTCTGCATTGGACAGCAGAATAATTAAGCAATAGAGCACGTTTTCTGTGTTTACATAGCCTCATCTAAACACGAGGAGGGTTGGGAGAATTCGAGACAGTTATGTAAACCCTAGACGTAGTCGAGGGTTTTTATAACTTTCGAGAATTCTCCTAGCCCCCCCACCCCCGAGTGTTTAGATGAGGCTATGTAAACATGGAAAAAGTGCTCTATTGCTTTTATGAAATAATTCTCAGAACTACGCGCGAATCTAAAACGTCGCAACTAATTGTGTTTGCATACTCTCATCTAAACACACCTATCAACCAATGAGAGCGCGCTTAGTATCCCAGCTTAATAATTCAATTTCCCGACTGAAAACTGTTTTTCTGCCTTTTTAGTGAACAGACTATTCAACCCATTAGAGACCAGTCCACCTTTCTTCAAATTTATTCTTCAGAGCGGGTGTAGCCTTGGTGTAAACTGTAACTAGTCTATTCTTTTGCCCGTATTATTATCGACTTCTCAATCATAACCAGCCAGCTTCGCTTAAACATTCTCCGCCGTGTGCTTTAACGCGCTAATTAGCACGTTTTATAATTTTCAATAAACTGTTTACTATGGAGCTCGTAGAAAGCTGAATTACAATGGTCAGATACCCATTGTAAGAGACTCTGCTATTTAGGGATTTGAAACCTAACCTAAAAGATAATGGACGCTTTCCATTGGACCAAAAATTCCGGTTCGCAATTCAAAAAATATCCATGGCGAATGCAACAGTATTTTCGTAATTCTGAGAAAAGTGGGCAAATTTGCGAGGTATAGCGAAATTTAGGAAATTTCTCACTCGGAATTTCTGTTCCATCAGACTTTCCTCGCGGAATTTCCGGAATTTTTGGTTAAATGGTACGCTTTTCGAAAATTCGACAATTTCCGGATTTTCCGGAAACTTTCCTAGAAAAGGAAACTTTCGGAATTTTTG